GTCCGGGCTGGCTTGTAGTTCACAGTGCCGCCTGCCGGAGTCGGAGTGTTTCGCCGGATCCCAGCCTGCGGCGCCGCCGGGGAGGTAGAAGGGCTAAGAGGCTGGTTCGGTGGACCGGGTGTCGACGCCGGGGGTGGGGTGTCGGGAGGACCTGGGACCCCAACTCGCAAAAGCACGGCTGGGCTGCGTTTCCCACTCAGCTGCCCGAGGCACCGGGCGAACTGCTTCTCAGCACCGCGGGCGGAATGGACAGACTTTCGGAGACCGCCAGGCTCCGGAATCCCAGCTCTGGGCTCCGTCCTGCGACAGCGTCTCGGAGCGAGACGGACCCCAGGCGGGGCACAGGCGGGGCGGGGCGGAGCCGCAGCGGAGGTGGGCGCTGGGCATGCCCAGCCCACCCGAGCGGGGCGTCTCGGGGCTCCCCTGTTAAACAGCGCCACAGCTTTTTGTCTCTATGCTTTAGTGTCGTGTTAATCTCCCAAAGCCGCCGTCCACAGAAAGCTGCTGTCCCACCACCCTGAAGCCGGGAGTCCAGCCCGGGTCCAGGGGAAGGCAACTGGACGGCCAGTCGCCGGCATAACTTGGCACCTGTTGGCTCGTAGCTGTGCCACCCAGTGCCTACGTTCAGGTTCCCGTGGGTCCAGGTTCTGTGCCCGAATCCCCTTTTATAAGAACCGGACTCGTGGTGGGCGAGGTTCCTGGTTTCACCTCATCCTGACGGATCGCGTCCCCCTGGGCCCCGTTTCCAACTTCTGCCACATGCCGAATGCTGGGGATTAGGACTGCCAGGAATGGGTTTGGGGGAACAGGCGTCTTTGGCCGGGGCTGCAGAAAAGTCTCCCCCTCCTCTGCCTGAGAACTTCCCGTGGCCGGCTGTGGTGGCCTGGGCCTGTAATACCAGCCACTGGGGAGGCAGAGGCAGAAGGATCTCAAATTTGAGGCTGTCCTGCATAAATTCAGGGAGACCTCACCTCGACATAAGATAAACAGGGCTGGAGAGGTCTCATGTTCCTGTACTGATAAAACTAAAGCTTTCTGTACCCTCGCCTCTGGCTGCACCCCCCATTCCCGGAACCTCTACCCCTGGTAAAGCGCTGTGGAGGTTCCCTGTTGAAGCTCACAGGCCGTGTCTGTCCTTGTGGAGCCTGCCTCGCCCTCAGGTTGCAGAGCGACTCGCAGATTCCCGCGTCGTCGTGCGGGACACCCCGGCCTTGGGCTTTCCTGGGCCTCTGCCCTGCGCGCTTGGGGAGCGCACGGCGCTCTCCCGCCCCGGGACAGAGACCAGCAGCACGCACAGAGCCACGTCTTTATTGCCTTTTGTCAGGGGCCGGCGAACAGGGTGGGTGGGGTGGAGAGGCCGACCCGGACGGCCAGGAGCTCAGAGTTAGCGC